CTGCTTCGTTCAAAATATAATCCTGCAAACAGACTTTCGATCCACGAAAGAAACCGCCCAATAAATCGAAAGAATGGCGAAGTAAGTCTCGCTCTTGTTTCGATGTGAAACTCACACTGTACCCGTAGTTGTTTAATATGTACACAACAATGACTGGCGCAATCGATTGAGCAGGTTTGACGAATAGAGCATTCAAGCTAAAGACAAGAGAAGACAGCGCGGACCTGGAAAAATTCACTGTTCACATAAGAAGTAAGTCGCGTTAAGTGTCCTACTATTATAATGCGTTATATCTGTCTGTGTGTGTCACGGTGTCTGTCTGTCACGAAATTCCCTAGCTCCTCGGGATCCACCTGGAGAGACCGGGTCAAGTGTGGGATGGGTGGGCCAGGTCTCACGAAGTAAAAACACACATCAGCTAAGCGGAGCCCCGCCCACAGTGGGCGTGGCGTGCATCGAAATGAGTGGTACTGAGGACCATGATTTCAAATTCAGTCACAAAACAGCCTCGAGACTGGGGAAAAGTGGGTATAGGTGTGCATTGGTAAGCCAGATTGAATAGGAGACCCACCTTGGTGGGCGGGGCGTTCTCTAAAAAGTGGTGCTTAATGAAAAAATCCGCAGACGCGAGCGGAGGCCCGCCCACAATGGGCGGGGCCTGATTTGAATTCCACGGTGTCTCCTACAAGTCCCCATTATTCGGTTTCGAGAAGTATTAAAAATGGGCGTGGCGTGCACGAAGTGGGCGGAGATTCTACTGAACTTGCTCGGTTAAATGAAGTCATGGAGATCGGGAAAAAACGTGGATAGAAACCGACAATAGAAGATCTCTCGACTGCGGGTGAGGTATGTACGGTGTGGATGAAGTCATCCACGAAACATTACAACTAGTTCCAACATGTCCTGGAAACAGGAAAAAGTGGAAAGAGCCTGACAACGGAAGGAGGTCATAGGCTATTGATGGGTGGAGCGCGCGGGAGGTGAGCGAAGTTTGCCAGAAAGCTTTACAAAAAGATCAATTGCCTTGTTTTAGACCACCAGCCCCGTGCACGTGCAGCAGCCCGTGCACGCGAGCTGCTGCACGTGCACGGGGCTGCGTGCCCATTCAAACTGATAAATTATAACTCGTTGACTAATGATCGCATTAGCAGATGGAGCGCCACACTGATCCCTTTATTTCGATAAAATTCATATTGATCAATATGCTGTAGCCTAGGTGTTGGCCCGGGCAACGGTTATGAGCGTCGTCGTCACTTTTGCGGTCCACAGAAAGAAGTCCACCCCTTCCTTTCCGAGTCGTCGAGTTTCTTTCTTCAGAACGCCTTAAGACCCGACTTTTGTGGAAGAGTTGGAAAAACTGTATCGTCCTAATAATTTCAACAATTGTTATTAGGTTCTAGATTTGGGATCCATTGGTTATCGACCAAGTCGCTTTTGCTCTCCTTGTTACTCGTATGAATCCTTCGTTCCGAACACAAACGAATTTAGATTTAGAGAAGTGGGACGAAAACCAATTGAAACACCGTAGAAACTCGACCTCCGAGAGTGCCTCTTCGCATCGTCATCAATGAAATCCGAAATGACTATATTAAACAGAGGTGCAGAAGAATGAACTGTGACGCTGAAAAATAGATTCATAAAAGCAAGGGGGCTCTTCAATGTCACCACAAAATTCACCTTACCTATCAATAAGCATGAAAACCATGACGAGATACGGATTATCTATGAAAAAGAACACTACACCAGAAAGGACAGAAACAGCGTAGCTCGCCATCAGTATCCGATATGCGCCATTCTTGACAACAACACGCTCACTCAGTATTAAGAAGAATCTAAAAAAAGATGTTTAGGATATAATAAAAGCAATGGGAAAACGTAACTTCAGTAACTGATGAAAAATAAACACCTGAGGTCCAAGTGTGGCAGCGCCATAGAACAAGCTCAATCGAAACGAGCCTTTTGGAAGAATGGTCTGAGGAATGAGCAGTTCAGTTGCCGTCGAAGCGAAATTCATATGCGCAACACTTCTTAAAAATTCAAGGCCTTACAATACGATGCATCTTCTGTGATAAAAACGACTCCAAAGGTCTGATTTGGACAAAGCTTAACGTGCGCTAATTGGCAATTCCATTAATCACATTCACGCCAACGGCGGCTCATATGGGCTGCCAGTGACGGTTGCGTGTGAGGCGAGGGCAGCCCATGTGGTTTGCCAGTTGGTTACCACAAACCATTGAATTATACAATGATTTACTTGAATATTTTTAATATCAACGAAAAAATCAAGGCCAATGTGCAAAATGGTCCGGATGAAGGATTAGATATGCTTCGTTTCAGAAGTTTTTCTAAGCCGTATAAATGCTCTAATCCAGCTAACTCTTCGTTTTCTTTCTATTGCTCTAAGCATATAATTGAGCGAGTAGCGAAATTCATCACAAACCTTTATAGACGGCTTTCAGGAAATTTCACTACAACAAACGAGGCAAAAATGCTTGTGATGCTCATTGCGGCAAAATTGATGAATCTTGTCCTTTCATTGCCAATAGACATCATTTTGCTCGGAAACGTGGTATTATGCCCTCGCATAACTTCTATGACCAAAATCCGCGAATGTAAAGTGAAACCGCGGCACTCGCAAATCCAGCTCATCCCACGCAATCAGAAAGGCGAGCGTCGTCATGGGGCGGTATTCAATCCTTCCCCCAGGGGGATATATCCCCCTCCTCTGATTCAATCCTCTGGGGGGACAAAAAAGGGTTGCGTCATAGGACCGCATACCTCTGTGTTTCTACCTGCCAGACAGTTAGAGCAGCGCGACCCCTCAGGGAAAAGAGTGCTTCATCAGTGGAGGGTAGTCGCGCTGCTCTAACTGTCTGGCAGGTAGAAACACAGAGGTATGCTAGGTCCTATGACGCAACCCTTTTTTGTCCCCCCAGAGGATTGAATCAGAGGAGGGGGACGCATCCCCCTGGGGGAAGGATTGAATACGGCCCCATGGTGTGTTGAGCTACCCTTTACCCTTTTCAAACCGCCATAACACGGGAATGTAGCACGAATTCACCGCGCGACGCCACGCCCGTCGCGAAAAAAATTTCTGGCATGACTCGTGTTACAAGGTTCTACATAGCAATGAGCAGTTTGGAAAGTATACCTCTTGGGATGACAATTTGAGGGTAGATCAATCAAAACGAGGAATTGTATATCTTACCTAGCAGTATGAATGAAATTTGTTGCGATAATGGCAATGAAATCTCTTTCAAAGAAAATCTCCTTCATTGCGACCGACATCGATCCGACCTCCTTTCTAAAAAGAATGATTTATGAAATTTAGCAACAATAACAACCAATACAAGGTGTAGAAAAAGTGTTATACTCCTAGAAGCATACCCTTTCGGAGCAGATTGTCCTGCGACCTCAACATTTTCACCGTCCACGAGCAGACTTTCTTTCTCAACGCTATAGGGAAGACTTGGTCTGAGCGACCCCGCAACCATAAAACAGAAAAGAGCAACGAATGCGACGACAACGGTTATTAGTTGGAAAGCCCAGAAAATCTGAAGGATTTAATATTCATTAAACATTAGGTGACTTTTCGAAGAACCGTACCTCGAGGCTGTGGCTCAGCTTTTCCGTGATGGCAATGATGTTAACCGAAGCAAGAATGCTAATCTGGCTGTATTTCATCGCCGAAACCCGCATCCTTGGTTCTCGGGTAGAATCCGCGAATAGTGCACTCCATGACACACCAATAGCACTGAAAATGTTCAATTGCACACAGAGAAGATGAATGGTGAGAAGGGGGTGAATGATTGACTTAAAGGCTGAATAGACTTTTTTGAAGAAAATTACCTGTAAAAAGCATCATACAAGAAAAGAGACACTATGAGATGTATGCCCTCTAATGAAGATCCTTCAGACCATGGCACCCACATGAAAACGAAGGAAGTGACCATGAATGGAGCAAATGTACGAATGACCCATGTACGCGAATTCAACCATGACCCGGGCTTATCCTGAATGGGGTTAGTTAATTAAAGCATCATAGTCTCGAACAAGAAAAGACGTGCTATTGGAAGCAACTAATGGATTAATTAGTAGCACTAACAACTAACCCTCCGAAGCTCTTTGGGAAAAACACCTAAACTTGGTATTAACGCTTTGGCAACTATGCAGACCACACGTGGGCTACAGCTAACAGTTGG